TTTTTCTTTTTGCTTATGTGGTGCTGAGGAATCGAACCCAGGGCCTCAGGCATGCAAGGCAAGCGCTCTACCACTGAGCCACCTTCCCAGCCCTACATTTTTTCTTAAACTGAGTACAACCTGAATTTGTCATCATCTTTACCAGGTGAAGAAGCTGATGATAGAGCATAATAGTTTTTCCTGAGGTTAAAAGCTAGAATGCAGGATTGGTAACTCGAAATCCAGTTTTCTTGTTACTCTTACACTATTTGTTTATTGTGTGTGTGTTGGTGCTTGAACTCAGAGCCTCACATACTTACTTGGCCTTTTCTGCTTTTGGCCTTTTCTGTTGCTCTGCCGACTGAAGCACAGCTATATTTCCAGCGTTTTGCTGGTTAATTGAATGTAAGAGTCTCTTAGTTTTATCTGTTTGGCAAACCATGATCCTCAGATCTCAGCCTCTTAAGTAGATAGGCTTACAGGCATGAGCCAGTGGTGTCCAGCTATATTATATGTGTGCATACATAATCATTCTTTGTGTCACCTCTTGCAGATAAAAAGATATAAAATCACTTTGAGAGTTACAAAATTTTATATAAATGAAGTTAATAATAGAAGATATTGTTGGCCTTAAGAGTTTCATTTTATTTCATAAACTACCCAAGGGTATTACCTTCCTCTGGGGAAACCACTGAATATTCTAATATGCTATTATCTAGATTTTCCTTCACTACTTTGATGTGGCTGTGGAATCTGTTGCAAATCACTTGGTAAGGGGACTGGCAAAGGGACCTTTCTACTAAGTGATGTTTATTTAGTTTTATCTTTGGCCTGTACAGAATTTAGTTCAGCCAGGTGCCAGTGGCTCACACTTACAATCCTAACTACTCAGGCTGACGTCTGGGGATCAAGATTTGAAGCCAGCTCAGGCAGGAGACTGCCAGTTAACTACCAAAAAGCCAGAGTGCATCTGTGGCTCAAATGATAGAGTGCTAATCTTGGGCAAGAAAGCTCAGGGATAATGCCCAGGCCCTGAGTTCAAGCCCCAGGCGCGTGCGCACACACACACACAAATGAGTTCAAGAAAGATGACACAAATTGCATGACCATATTCTATTGTTTCTGCCATAGTCTTGAACCTCCAGGGTTTCTAACCAAATTTCATGGGAGACACTCTCCCCCTTTTTTTAATCTTACATACATTTCCTAAAAACAGCATTCAAGTACAAAGAGACTGAGAGTCTAGAGATTAGATTGGCTTTTAGGGGCATCAAGGTGGATTTCATGCCAAGCCAGGTAAAGAATGTTGATTTAGCCAAGCAGTGGGCAGGCAGCTCATGCCCATAATCCTAACTGCTCAGGAGGCTGAGATCTGAAGATCACCATTTAAAGCCAGCTAGGCAGGAAAGTCTGTGAGACTCTTAACCTCTAATTCATCATCAAAAAGCTAGAAGTGGAACTTTTACTCAAAAGTAGTAGAGCAGGGCTGGGAAGGTGGCTCAGTGGTAGAGTGCTAGCCTTGCATGCCTGAGGCCCTGGGTTCGATTCCTCAGCACCACATAAGCAAAAAGAAAAAAAAGCCGGAAGTGACGCTGTGGCTCAAGTGGTAGAGCGTTAGCCTTGAGCTGAAGAGCTGAGGGACAGCGCCCAGGCCCAGAGTTCAGGCCCCATGACCGGACCAAAAAAAAAAAAAAGTAGTAGAGCAGTACTTTGAACACGAAACACCCAGCACACGGACTCTGAATTCAAACACCAGGACTGGCACGCACACGCGCATGCACACAATATTGACTTCAGGAGTCAGGACTCTTGTTTTGATAAATGGGGTCTAGATTTGCTCCGTGTGTGTGTGTGTGTGTGTGTGTGTGTGTGTGTGTGTGTGTGTGTGTGTGTGTGT